AACTCTACCACCAAACACAAGTTTCTCTTTGTCATTTGTGTGTTGGTACAATAACTTGCACAAGCTGATCTCCTTTCTCAGTCATTACACTGTACTTAAAATCTGCGCCACGCATTCCTGCAGTCATTTGCAAGCAGGCGAGCGGACTCATTTACACAAACCCTCTCTCAAAAATCCACACAGGGATGCGTGCACACGGAAACCAGAAGCGGACAGTCATTTTATCATGGGGCAGAAGTGTTCATTTATAAACTATACCACCCACATATATGCTTCTCTGGTTCATTCTCGGGTTTCCTCCCCTTCCCTTTTTTTTTGCTTCTCTCTTTCTCTTTATTCCTCTCTCATCTCCACTAGAAGTGAAATTACTCTCCAGCCAGCAGCGAGGTCAGAGTGTCTGGCCTCCGTTATTTGTCTTCTCCTCCTCTACAATATGTGTGTGTGTGTCCTTTGTGTGTGAATTTACAAAAGTGAGACAGAGAGAGAGAGAAAGGGAGAGTGTGACCTCCAGCAGCACATGTAAAGCCGAATTAGACAGATTCTCCATATTTTCGTTGTAAGTGATACAAAGTAAGAGTGCACTCAACTCTGACTCTTCAACACGATTAGAGAGTGTGGTCTTAATACAAACACAATACTGCGGCTCACTGATGAGTATGAAAGGGCAAAATAAATACAATTCAACTAGAAGCTTTTATCCATGCAACACGAGAAAAAGCATCGACAAATAACACATATTACAACATGTAACTGACAACAGTCGAAGGAAAATTCTATAAGTACAATGCATAAACTATCTATTAGATAAATTATAAGATCGTTAAAAGTGACAAGAAAAATATATGTTCTATAGATTGAAATAGACATGATGGTTCTGCAAGAGATTTTGTTTTGAATTCCACAGTATCCCCACAGATCAGAGTGCTGCACTGGGTACAGTTTAAACATGGAAAATTCCCACGTGGTAAGGTAAAGTCAGCTCCAATCAATACATCTCTCAGATTTTTGGCATATTTATCATCAAAGGTCAGAATATCTTTGAAAGAGTGACCTTATTAAATGGTCACTGGTGTTTAAAGAGGCATATTTTTATTTCTGTAGAAAGAAAGTATCACATTTTTAGACTGATTTTATGGAATGGTATTTATTTATTTATTCTTTGTTTGTTTTTATACCACACTTAGTAAATGATGAATAAGAACATTTTAGGAAAGAGTTAAATGATTTGAAAAGTCCATCCATTTGATTGCGCTTATCCTTTTCAGGGTCGCTGGAGCCTATCCCGGCTGTCTTACAGCAAGAGGCAGGGTACACCCTGGACAGGTCAAAAGTGTGTCGCAGGTCTAAGACATAAACAACCATTCGCACCTAGTGTTTTAATTAACCTAACCCCACTAGCTGCATGTCTTTGGACATTAGGAGGAAGCTGGAGTACCCACGAAAACACCGTGAAAGACCCTGGCCTGATGGTGGAATTGAACTCAGGACCTTCATGCTGTGAGGCAACAGTGCTAACCACTGTGCCGTTAAAACGGCAGGTCTAGTGCTATACCTTTATAGTATCCACATGGAAGTTTGTTTGTTTTTGTTCAGTTCAGTTTGATTAAATTTTGTTTATATATGTTTGTGCCAAATCACAACCTTACAATTATACAGAGAAAACCCCAACAACCACAGCACTCCCTATGAGCAAGCTTGGGGACAGTGAGAAGGAAAAACTCCCTGTTCTGCAGGAGGAAGACACCTCCAGGCATACCTGGCTGGTTGTGAGGATTCAGTTGCTATGAAGGCAGAAAAACGTCCATAAAGAACCAAATGGTTGTTTTCTACAAGCTTTTTAATGTTTTTTAATTGGTCATTTTAACATGGAAGTCTAAAGAGTGCCCTTCCTGCTTGGCCCCAGAAGGATTCACTTAGTTTGTGCTTAAATTCTAAACCAAAGGTGTGACACGGTGTGGTCTCTCTGTCCTCCTACACACTCCTGACCTCCTCTCCTTTTCCCCTCCCCTGCTTTACTTTCACCTTCCTTCTCTTCCTATTTTTTCTGAGCTGTTAGCACATGAATATCTGTCAGTTATTTTCCCCACTGTACGTTCCCTTCACATTGGCACGACACTTTGTGTTTCTGCTTGCAAGCACTAGTCTAACACAATAGTGCTTGAAGCTTAACAGCTTTTTATGCTTACGTAAGTGTGACTGTGCATGTGTCTCCCTGCCAAACCCTTCACCTTGTATCCAAATGCCCCCCTCCTTCTGCCTCTATATTCATCACTATTAGAGATCCATAACGCTTCCATTCTGCTGTAGCTCCCTGCCTTCAGCTGAAGAAAGCACTCAGCTTTTTGATCTGCCCAAGCAGCTCAGCTGTGGACGGCTCCCTCATGAATGAATTTTCGCTGAACACCAATGGCACAAGCTGCTTCCTCAGACAAGATGCCCATGTGCTGAGCTGTCATACTGCAGCGTTAAACCATCGCTGTGATAAGTGAGCACTTGAAACATGGAACCTGAAACGCATCATCAGCTACAGATTTCTTTTTGCCGATGTGCCGTCATGGTGCCAGACATGCGTGGTTTTCTAATATGCAAACTGTCAAAGTGTTAAAATCTCATTTGTTTCTTTTGTTTGTCGAGCAGGTGTCAGATGAAACATTGCTTCCGTGACACTGATCACACTGGAAAACTAACAGATTAGCTTTTATCAACTGGAAGCTTCAGGAAGGCTTCGCTGATATAGAATGGACTTGGCACATAAAGGTTCAGCATAGGCAGACTTTTAAAATGCAGGATATCCACAGAGACTTTTGCCTCTCATAGTGGCTCGGCTTCAGGGTGGGGATAGTTTTGTTCAGTACAGACCATTGTTACATCCTGTAGACTACAGGGGATTTCAAAAAGTAACTTAACATGTTAAAAAAAAGTCAACAAAGTCTTCGTTGCCTGTGCTCCACTTCTTCACTCCAGTTTCATGAAATTTGGCGGGGTAGTTTCTGGGATAACATATCTCCACCACCTATATTCCTAATGATTTAGTAATCCTCTGACCTTTCCTCTAGTCAGGTTCTGATGAGACTTAGCTTTTCTTGTTAAGACATTAATTAGTAAAAAACACAAAAATAATGCTATTTTCCGAGTAAAATTACAAGGCCTGAGAATAAACCCTCTGCAGACAACATGGGCATCTTTAGATCTTAAGAAACCTTTTACTAATAATATACTGACAACCCATAGAGAACATTATGTATGATCTGTTATATAAGTTTAATAATTCACAACAAGTTTTCCTGGGCATAAAAAACGTTTTAAAAATTCTAAGATTTTGAAAACAACTTTAGGCTGAGTTAGTAGCCAGAAAAACTACCACGTTCATTAAACTTTGTCCCAAATCTTAAGTTTTGTTTGACTACAGTGAAAGAAAAAACGAAATTTTCAAGCAAAATGATTTCTTACTCAGACTCAATTAGATTTTATTTACAAAGTTCCTAATCACATCAGCAGTTGCCTCAAGGTGTTTTACAGTAATACAGAGAAAACCCCGACCTGTAAGCAAACACTTGGCGACAGTGGGACAGAAAAAGTACCTTTTAACCTTTTGCTTCCTAGAGCATCAGAGAGCAACTTGGGGTTAGTATCTTGTCCAAGATTATTTGACATGCAGACTGGAGGAGCCACGGATCGAACCACTAACCCCAAATTGCTCTCCGATGCATCCATCGGAGTATGAATGTGTGTGAATGTATGAATGTAGTTAGGAAGCACTCAAAGTTTAGAAGAAAGTGTTTGTGTGATCGGGTCAATGTCGCATTTTGTATAAAGCGCTTTGAGTACTCTGGGAGAGTAGAAAAGCGCTATATAGAATGAGTCCATTTACCATTTAGATGACCTGCTCTACCTCCTGAGCTACAACCACCCCAAAAAAGAATCGTCCAAATACTCTCCAGCTGCTTGGCTTCATGCCTTCCTTATTTACAGACCAGTACATTAAACTAACTAAGGAACAAGAAGTTGTGAGCTATAAGAGAAACTTCATTTGACTGCCTACTCGAAATACCCAGAAGTGGTAGGTGGGCATCAGGCACATGCGACAGTAACAGCTCACCATCAATGTGAGTTACTGTAACATAACTGAAATATGTGTCAATTCAAATGATCTTGTGTTTTGGTTATGCACATTTCAAATTATCTTAAGTAGAACAAGAGAAATAAAAGACTGAAGAAAGAAAATGAGAAAATTCAGAAAAATTTAGTTTTGTTGCAATTTAATAGCAGTGAGTTATCAGTATAGCAAAAAAAAACATGGCTCGAATCTTGAGGGAAATCCACCAGTCAAAGAAGCAAAAACAGATGTTTGCCAGAATTGTCACAGAGTATGAAATTAAAAGAAAAAGGTTAAGATAATCTATATTTTTTTCAAAACTAGCGCGGGATCTGTGAAAGCCATCAGAAATTGTGACTTATTTTTAAAAGTTGATCACAAACTCCAGTCCAGGCACTGAAATCCTCCTTAGTGCGTCTTTCATTTTACTTCTACACAGAGCCTTAGAGAAAATGTTGTTATCTAAGCACAGCCAAACTGTTAGACACCTTAATAACATTCATTTTGTTCCACAGTTTTGCCTGGGGGGGTTGGAGTGTGCGTATGTTTGACACGGGAGGAGGAGTGTGTGCGTGTGCATGTGTGTGTGTGTGTGTGCGTGCGTGTGTGTTTGTGTGTGTGTGCATGTGGGAGGGGGAGGAGGGGGTTACCTAAGGAAAAAATAAAAACAGCTTTGTTCAGCAGTTGATGCTTATTTCACAAAATATTATGACACTGTCTCGGGTTATAAAAATTATTCCATAACCAAAACACCGCGGCTTCAATCGCGGCACCATCTGTCTTTCACGGCACATTTTAGCATCAAATCAAACGCTGACATGCTCACTGAGTGTAACAGCGCGTCAGCTGACTGCCTGCAGTGTAGAATGAAGGATGTAAAGTGTAAATGTCAGAGCGCTCTAACCTGCTGCTCTCCCAGCTCTCTCTTCAGTCTGTTCTGCCACTGCAGCGCCTGCATCACGATCGCTTCCCACCTTCTCTCTAGGTTGATAGACAGCAGCTGCAGGGCCTCTCTGTGCTGCTCCGCATCAGGGCCCACCTCAGCCATGGGGCCCGACTGTTTTAGGGTGGGGATTAGATCGATTTATTGTAAGAATTGACAACAGAATTTATTCTTCTCAGGGTTTCAAAAGTCTAAAAATTATAAATATAAAATTTAACATTTCTAAAGTATATTTTGTGAGTTACATATAACTTGTGTCTTTTGCTGGTGAGGTGAATCCACAGTTCTTTTACATTGGCAGCCAACTTTCCATCATCTAAGTTGTGTTTTCCTTTACCCACCTGGCTCTGTTGTAGCAGCTTCTGGCACAGTTTCAGAACAGAGGAGACCCCACGCCGTCGGGCCTGAATGTCCGAACACAGGGGCTGGATGGCAACATGGAAGAGAAAGACGAGGAGAGTGAGGTCAGAAAACAACAACAAGAAATGCTGAGCGTCAGCTCATTAGTTCAAACTTCTTCTAGAGGTTGGAAAATCATATTGTGGTTTGTTTCAGTCCCATACCAACATTTTTTATTACAGTAGTTGTTTGTTTAAGGTCTAAAATATTCAATTTTTTTCCTGCTACCTTTTTAGATTTAAAAAAATCTGAGTTGCTCTGACAACCCCTAAAGATTCCTGCCAAAAGAAAAAGACAAATCATATGCGTCCTCTTTCATGCAACACTATGCTCTCTTAATTATTTATTTATTTAAATAAATATATTTAAATAAATATATATTTATTTACATTTTTTTGTTAGTACTTCTTACTTTACTGTAACATGTTTATGGTTAAAAGTATGTCAAGAAGCACGTAAAGTACAATTTATGTGCTTCAACGAGGCTCGACTCAATGTACTGCGCAGGATAATTAGCTGTACTTTTCTGGTTTAAATGATCATAAACTGTTGGTTTCTTTTACAGACTTACTGTCATTGCCCCTGATCCCTCCATCTTTCTTGTACAATGTTACCAATGTCCCGAATTTTCATTAATACTAACACAGGGAGAAATTATGGACACGATTATGAAAACAACACCCTAAACATTAAAGAATTATTCATTTCTCTAACAATAAAAGATCAAGAAAGAAGACCTACATTCGCTGCACTTCACTGTAGTTAAATTCTGGTCATTCATTACAGTTTATTAGCATAAAGTCAAATTCAGCACACAGATCCTTGATCAGCAGCAACAGTGCATAAAATAAATGACAACAGCCAATATTCCCCCTCTCTGCTTCCCTCCCGGCTTCTGTCTAATAAATGCAAAAAAAGAGAAAAAAAAAGAAACAAGGATTGGCAGTGCCTATTATAAATCACTATATGCTGATGAGTTTCCACACTCAAAGGTCAGTGTGTGTGTGTGTTTGCATGTTTCAGTGTTTACTCGTGCAGGCCTGTGCATAAAGTTTGTGTAGCAGTGGGTGTATGTGCAAACATATGCATATATTTCTGTGTGTGAGACAGCGAATAGAGGGGACAGCCTTACTCCTCTGCGGCAGGGACCAAGCACGTCCAAGCCCCAAACTATTTATGCTAATCCTGCCTGCTCGCTGAAAAGCACTTCCTTTACATTTTCTTTACATTTTTCCAATAAATATTAAACACTATTACAATGAAATGGGATTCTCTCTCTCCCTCCAACTCTCTCTCGCTCTCTCTTTCTTGCGTGCGCACACATTCACACTTTGCCTCGTTCTCACACACACTCAACACTTCTTCTCCCGTCTTTCATCTCCTCTTTCCCGCTCTCTTCAGTTTAGCATATTTGTGGCTTGCCTGGTTGTCTAAACAGAAGATGGGGATGCAGAATACAGCAGACAGGATCAAGAGGACAAGCCAAGTGTGTGTTTGCGTGTGTGTCTGTGGGGTGGCAGATAAATTTATTCCAAACAGGAGGTGTGTATTACATTGAGGGAGGAGGCTCTAAACAATGAAACGACTGAGTGATACTCGTTCCGCGCCAAATAAGTGCAGCGGACAGCACGGAGGAAGCACAGAAAGACGTATTAAACTAGATTGGGGCCGGAAGAACACTTTGAAAACCAAATATGCTGATTGAGAAATGTTTTCAAAATGAGCTTTTTAGCATGTGAGAAACTTCTCTATATCACTCGTTGGGCAGTGAAGACCAGTCCAGTGCGAGATCTTTCTGCTCCACAGAAAACCAGCTGTGTGCTTCCTGATGGATTACGACAGGTGTACAACTTATTGCCATCCACAAACAAATTTAACAGGCTAACAGACCCATTTTTGAGCTGTCTACTCAACCGTGTCTTGCAAACTCATTTGCTTCAATACTTAATCAATACAGTCATGTACAAAGACTGTGTAATGATTCACTGTATATCCCAATGTAACTGTGCCCTAAGGTTTAGTAATAGACTTTAAATCTAGTTTCTTTTATTAGGCTTCTGATAAGTGTCTAGTGCACAGCAGAACCATGGATAAACCATTATAGTACAGACCAGGGGTTTTCAACTAGGGAAACAAATGTCTCGTGAGGGTACTGCTACAGAAGAATAGCGCTATGGGAAAAGTGTGAATTCATTATTAAATTTTAAAAATTGATATTAAATACAATTGACGGCTGACATATCAGGCCAAGAGTAAGACTCAGTAAAGACAAAAATAACTGATTAAAAGTTGAAATACAGCTGCTAGCTAAAGTTCAGAACAGGAAATTGTAAATAGTTTTTGTAAAAGCACCATTTCAAATCACAGTGGGCATTCTGCTTTGTCATCTCATATCTGACTAAAACTTTCACATTCCAGATGAAAAACTAAATATGTAGAATACTTTTTAACATTAAATTCGACTATACTAGTTTGATTCAACTTTCATGCTGGGTTGAGCAAATATGTTAAGTTGTAACCCAAAACCAAAAATATCAGTGGACTGTCTAATCTGAATAGAAGCAAATTCTGGAGAATTATAATGAAAAGAAAATTACTTAGTTAAATCTATGCAAATATTTTGTTTTCGAGAACCACATTGTAACCATGCACATTGTCCTGGAGGTCTTAAACATGGAACAATGTAGCATTTTTATATATAATGCCCCCCATAAAGTTTGGGGAAACACTTTGTTCCCCCTCTGCTTCTTAATGTAAAATTCTAAATAAAAAAAAATCAGACATGATTAAATTTCAAAAGACTTTAAAATTCATTTGCATGCATTTCAGTTGCACAATGTAGAAATTAGAACACTTTTTATACCTTGTCCCACCCTTCAGGGCACCACTTCAGTATTTCACGAGTTTTCAATGCCTTTTAGTATTATTTAAACTTAACCTGAATTATCAGTCTGGAAATGGTAGATAGAGTACATCTCGAAAATGGGAAACTGGTGGGTGTTTAGCAGAAAATGCTCTAAAAACTTGATAATCTGAGATTAAAAGACCTGTTTAACAATAGATAGCACAGTATAGATAAACTGTTAGCTAACAGTTGCTAAGTATAAAGAAATGAATAGCTGTTAAGTGTGTATTAATTGAGATAACTAAAAATCTGTTTGAAAACATTTGGGGGACGTTGGTGTAGTTACCAACAGAGCACTGATGCTGTCTCCAACAGTGTTAGCTGCTTGGTTCTATAATACTTTAAGAATATTTGCCTTGTTAATTAAATGATGAAGAGCCTTGTAGGCAGGACTAATGTGAGTGCGATCTGCTTTTGTTAAACACAAGAATATAATGATCCAAAAACTATGAAGAAAAAACTAACAAAAATAAGCCCTTTCCTCCCCGCATGACATGAAATTAAGTAAAAAGATTCAGGTCTCAAGAAAAACATGACTTCATGTAGAAGAAAACTATATGTGGGTACCAGGAAAAGTAGACACAACTTCACTGTTTGTCAGTGCAAGTGCAACAAACTTCTCTTTGAGAGAATTTATGGTAAAGGTTATGAGTTTTCACAAAGGGAGTTTACTCTTTTTGTCTATATTAAAAACACCTTTAAAAACACATTAACATGGATATGAGTGGTATACCAACAGTTGCATTACTTGTGAAAGTCACAAGTGTTATGCTCGCAGATTGGTAAGCTTTACAGAGCAAAACTCTGTTCTTTGTGAATTCATTTCCATACAGAAAGGAAAAAAAGAGGGATTCCTACGTTTCTATTGTTTCTGCACTGCTGGTTTTTATGCACTGATCCCCCCCTCTCTCACTCTCTTTTTCTCTGGACCGGTCTAGCCTGGCTGGGTCCGTATTGACTCAGAGGGCTCTACAGACACAGTTGGACAAATATTTGCTAAAAAGCTTTTCTTCAAAAATACATGGGAAGCCATAGAGTGGCTGCGGAGAAAGAGATGGAGAATGTAGAGGGGAGGTTGAGATGGACAGAAAAGCCAAAAGCAAGTGTGAGATAGGTCGACAAAGAGGTGAAGGCAAAAACGAGGGAAATGTGCAAAAGCGTGAAGACTGAGAGAAAAGACTAGTGAGACTAGTGAGGGAATAGAAAAGACAAAACAAAGGTAATCGTAAACAAAGGCAGGAAATTTGCTCTTTTGGGAAATGATGACTCTATGGTGATACCCCTCAGCCTTTTAGTAAACATGCCTATGGTATCAATTTCAAAAACTTTGCCTTTTTCTCAAGTTATCACATTCACAAGATTTTCAGAAAACTTACGCTGACCTTGAGGTCGAGGTCACTGAGATTCGAGCTCGTCTACGATTTTTGGTATCAATTTAAAAATCCTACATCGCCACCGTAAGTTTTCGCATTCACATGATTTTCAGAAAACCTGATCGTGGACCTATGACCTTTAGGTCAAGGTCAGTGAGATTTGAACTCATCCAAGATTTTTAGCAGATGAACCTACGGCACTAATTTGAAAATCCTACGCGACTTCCTTCTTCAGTGATTGCAGTCACAAGACTTTCAGAAAACTTGACCTCTGACCTCAGTCTTGTGGTTGAAGTCATTGAGATTATAGTAGATACGCCTATAATATCAAGTTAAAGCTCCTACATTGCTTCGGTCTCCTGTTGTGCCATTTGCAAAAAACTTTGTGATTCTGTTGACCTGCTTTTCCATAACTGTCACAAGTTAGACCAGGAAATCAGTGTTGAGTGTGTCCAGTTGTTGCCCCTTTTTTTGCCTCTTTTTTTTTAATGGGACTTTTAATGACGATTTGTGGCCAAGTGTGAAGCTGCTAGGATGTGAGTCAGCACCACTAATTGTTCACATGCTGGCCTCAGAAAGGTAAACTAGTTTACCTAAACTGGTGATAAAGCTTTAAAATATTATAAAATATTAACACACTATATTATATTCAAAACATACGCCTTTTAATCAGTTTAAGTTGAAGGACATAGATCAAGGGTGTCATATATAAGGCCCTGGGGGCAGAATTGGCCTGGCAATTCTGTAA